GGATGCTGTCCGGATTGCCGCTACAAATGCTATAGTTGAGCTGATTGTAACAGAGAGCGAGTATAGGAAAAACGAAGCTAATCCTTTTCAAGATTCATCAAGTCAACCGAGCTCTAGCCAGCAACCTGAAATACATCGAGTGGTTGGTGTGGAACTCTTTCAAGAATTAAGTGGATTGCTTCGCAGATGTCTTTCGCAGCAGGTATCTTACAGATATACTGTGCCACCTATTTGTTCTATCCTTCATCTCTAGCAATGCAGATATAGTCCCTGACATAGCTACTCTGCTATGACAGGCTAGAGTCAAAACAGTTTTGTACGAGGGTCTCATTCGAATTGTTACCTCCGATCCAGATGTTGCAGACAATGTACTTGATTTCCTGTGGCCCCACTTCGTAAACTATTACATAGAGGTAAAACTACCCAAGAGATTCTTGTGTCCACTTCTGTCCACTTGATACTATAGATTCGCTCAAGTACATTCTTTTCGCAAGCCAAATAAAGTTGTTCTTATGGGATGCTGTTGCCTGAATTGCTTCAGAATGCAGAATGCCCCCTTAAAATGGATTCATGCTTTAAAGTTGAGAATGCCAAAGTATGTATGGTGGAACCTTTGGATTGCCTACTGTCATGTGTCACGTGCATTCTTCGAGCTCAGCAAAATAGTAAATGTCACCGACCACGTGATGCATATTGGAAGTGTTTCGGTTTTGCTCCTTCCCAGGATAATGAGGTTTGCTCTTTCCTCATTTTGAAATCCTTAACTAATTGGTTTAAGCATAATATATTCCGAATCTATGCTACTGTCAGGTTGGAAGATCCTCATCAAGGGACTTGTTCATGAAAGGATTATCAAATATCCAGAAGTATTTGAGGAAATGCCTCACAGAAGGTTTGTGATAACGGCATCCTGTTGGTGCTTAACCCTATTATTTTATATGACACATGTTTTTATGCTTACAGTTTGCTGTTGATTTATGACAGATCAACGAGGACAGACCCAAGAAGCTGGTTCTGCTTCTTCATCTTTGGAGATAGTCCAGTGTCATAATGTTTTTATGCCTGGAATCGTTGAGGTTTTTGTTGATTTTGCCGCTTCAAAACTAGCGGAAGCTGCTGATGAACCAAAGGAGAAGTTAGAAAAAGAAATACTGGAGCTCGTTGATGCTCACAGTGGCTTTGAGAGGAAAACAAGCAAGAGCAGGGAGAAAGTTGCACCAAGAAGAGGGGATTCAAGAGGTGCTACAGATAGGCAGACTAATGAACCTAAGGAAAATTCAAATGCTTCTTTGCTGAAATTACATGAAAAGAGGGGGGAATTTATGAATTCAAGTTTGTATGAGCTTGTAGTGATGTGTACCAAACAGTGCCATGCTGATAAATATGATAAAGGCAGCCAGCGTCCTAGCCAATCTAAATTGAATCAGAGCTCCAGTCTATTATCCTTTGTACTGAAAGCCTGCCTTGAGATGTTCAGATCACTTACAGCTAAGTCAAGTGGTCTGGCCATTGGAAATCTAAGAAGAACGCTGTATGAAGATGTAAAAAACTTCGCGCAGCCAATTGTGAAGCTCATATGGTGGTTTATGTTGGATTCAGAGCAAGAGAATGGTGGATTCAAAAAGAACACAACCCAAGGGAAGAGAACAGTTGAAAACAAAAAGGATCAGTTATATCTGGCATTGACATGCTTTAAAGAACTTTTTAAACTAAGTGTATCAGAAGACCGTTCTAGTGACATTATTGATCTTCTGATATCTTCGGCTCCTTCAAATATAGAGGATATGATGGAAGCTGACCAGCTTCATGACAATGACACTACTGTGACTGAGAATCCAGAAAAAAGAGGCGCTCATGTGTTTCTGAACATATTGAAGATGTTATATGCTAGAGCCCTTTCCCAATCCCTTTCACGTGAATCCGAGGTAAGCCTAATGGTAATCTGAGTAGGAAAGCAACATATGATGGATTCTGTTTCTACTGTATTACATTATTATAACTCTTATGATCAGTTGCACCTACTTAGCATAATAAGCATAATGCACAGTAGATGCTTCTGCTTCTGCACCGTTCATTTAGTTGGAAATATTTGCACATACTCCTAGTTTACATGTTACTTGTTGGCCTGCTTATGTTATTTAGGGCAGAAGTTGTGCCACAGTTTAGTTCTACTCCCTTCGTTCCAAAATAATTGAAGTTATACATTTGTCATAAGTCAAACTTGCTTAAGTTTGACCAACTCTATAGAAAAATGTGCTAAGATCTACAACACCAACACATAGTATAAAAATATATTTCATAAAGAATCTCATGAGACTAATTTGATGTTCTAGATTTAATATATTTTCTGTAGACTTGGTCAAACTTAAACAAGTTTGACTTAGGACAAACCTAGAACTTCAATTATTTTGGAACGGAGGTAATAGATGATATAGATTAGTTGACATTTTCATATTCTAGATAACTTATCCATCCAAACTTGCTGTTCTCAGTCTTTGAGTGATTTGGTTTTCTTTGTTTTAGGTATGTGCGGGTATGTCATGCCAGATACCATGTTATGTGTTAACAAATAACTATCCACAAAATAATCCTCATTGAAGATACAAGTGAATAATTTAATCTTAATGGTTTGCTTTGGTAGATAATATAAAGTTCTCTTGCAAATGGAAAAACTAAAGTTCATGTTCATTTCTGCAGGCTGTATCTGAACTGATTTTTGGCATATCAAGGAAACTGCATCCTGATCAGAGGCATCTTGTGGGACATTGGGCTGCAGGCTTATGTCGAAAGAATACTGTCCAAAGCCCAACCACCGCACAAGAGATGGTAAAACTTGCTGTCCATCTTATGACAACTCCAGATGACATGATTCTTGTGCATGAGATGACAACAGAGTTGAAGAAGTTAATAGCCTCCGGAGACGAGGAGTCTGTAGATTCTTCCGAGGCATTTCTCATTGTCAATTGTAAAACAAAAAATTCACTTGTTGCTGTCTTCCTTCACATGGTTGAGTCATCTCTTATTGAACTGGAATGGGGTCTTGGTAAGCTTAAGGCAATGCTCACATTAGGTTATGGCTCTTCTAATGTTGACGAGGACCAGCCAGCAGATGAAAGGATGCAAAGAATGTTTCTGGAGGAAGCATTCTACTCAAGATCAACATCAGTAGTTCATGTCCTTTCGTCTTTCACACATATGAGCCTTAAGGGTAGGTTGAAAAAGTATCATAAAACGCCTATATTGTTACATTCCTCTATTCAGTCTGATTTTACCTTTGCATACTCAGATTCTCAGGCAGAGCAGTTTCTGAAACTGACTGCAAAGTTCTACAAGCTCTTGGCTCGCATCTCAAAGTCTCAGATTGCACCTAAGGGCTACAAGCAGTTCATACCAGGTCTCAAATTTCAGAAAATGGCGGAAGTAACTTGCAGGATGCTTACTGCTCCACTTTACAATTTTGTCTTTACACTTCAAGAGGTCTGTGGCACTCTATAAATACACTGTCCACGCTTATGGCTCCTGTGATCTCAGTTTAAAAGCTTCATGTTTTCTCGTTTACTTTCTTGTGTGTTACAGAGTGAGCAACCACACAAAAAAAGAATCCTCGCGAAGATTAAAAGGGAGAGCAAATGCATTCCTGATCTTATTTTCCAGGTGGAGGATTATGAGAAGTACCTAATCCAGTTAAGCAAACTCACAAAGGTGAACCTTTTGAGGCATGCCAAGCGTAGCGTAGCAAGAGATTTTCGGATACAACCAAAGGAGAAAGCTGCAGAAGAAGAACGTGAAGGGGATTCTCCTCCAGCGAGTGCTGCATCACCTGAGAGTGACCCTGAGGAGGATGCAGAAGGTCCAGGTGTTCCCGCTGATGAAAACCTGCAGGCAAGTGCACAACATGATGACGCCGTCCAAGATTCTGAATCCGACGGAGAAGAGGAGGAAGTATTAGCACACAGGAAGAGAGCTAATGCAAACCAAATTGTCCAAGATTCTGAATCTGATGGAGAAGAGGAGGAAGTATTAGCACGCAGGAAGAGAGGTAAGACAAGCCAGATGGTCCAAGATTCTGAGTCTGATGGAGAAGAGGAGGAAATGTTAGCACGGAGGAAGAGAGCCAAGACAAACCAAATCATCCAAGATTCTGAATCTGATGAAGATGCTGAAGGCGAGTGAATTTTCTGTAGGCAGCAATCAGAAAGCATAAGTCATACTCGTAGGAAATATAGAGCAGTACTCGTAGATACTGTTTTGAACTGTTTGTTAACTTGTTGATTTTAGATGATATATAAGGTGTAATCGCAATCATTGTGCTCTTGCTCTTGGTTACATTTTTCTCATGAATTTTAACACGAACCACATTTCTTCTGGAGCGAGACATATACTCCCCCGTTCCTAAATATTTGTCTTTTTAGAGATTTCAAATGGTTACCACATACGGATGTATATAGACATATTTTAGAGTGTAGACCCACTCATTTTGTTCCGTATGTAGTCACTTGTTGAAATCTCTAGAAAGACAAATATTTAGAAACGGAGGGAGTACTACTGTACTATGTTGGCAATCTTTGATGACTAAATTTAGTCCTTCCTGTCTTACTGTACTTCACTCACTGCCAAGAAGAGCTTCCTGTATTGAAACGACTTGAGATGTATTGGCTGTAGACGGGGCAGCATATTGTCCCAGTACAAAGTGCAGTGATCCATGTCTAGCACCCTATCAGGAGGTAGCTCATGTTTTTCTTTAAAAAGAAAATGGCGGTTGCTGATGTTTCTGATGGGCAAAAGCATAGTCTGCAGTTGCACACAGTCGGCAACATCTGAATCTGATCCAAGGCTCCAAGCCACCGGACCGGACCCAACACAACACCAGGTTCCCGACCTGGTGCTGGTGCGCACAAACCCATTCGAGTCGACTCCACCGCCGACCCTATATATCCCTCACTCTTTCGGCTCGCCCGCAAAACCCTAGAACCCACCCCTACGCCGCCGCCGCCGCCGCCATGGTAACATACCTCCCGGCCTGACTTGTGGACGCTGATCTATGTAACCGTGGGCAAGATCTGACCCATCTCCTGTCCTCTCTCGTGGCAGGGTATCGACCTCGTCGCCGGCGGCCGTAACAAGAGGACCAAGCGCACCGCGCCAAAGTCGGACGATGTCTACCTCAAGCTTCTGGTGAAGGTAAACCACACGTTCACCTCGATCCGGTGGAGTCCTCCCCATTTCCTGCCGAATTTCGGAATTTATTTTGAGCAGCGTCTCATCCCGATCCGTGTGCGTGCAGCTCTACCGCTTCCTGGTGAGGAGGACCAAGAGCCAGTTCAATGCCGTGATCCTGAAGCGCCTCTTCATGAGCAAGACCAACCGCCCGCCGCTCTCGCTTCGTCGCCTCGTCAAGTTCTTGGATGGCAAGGTCTCTGTTCTTTTGTTTGGTGTTTATTATTGATGCGTGATTAGGTTCGTTTCGTTATCTCTGCATGACGCTGTTCGGCTTTGCGATTCTGGAAGTGCAGGATAACCAAATCGCTGTGGTCGTGGGCACCATAACCGACGACAAGAGAGTTTACGAGGTGCCGGCGATCAAGGTGGCAGCTCTCAGGTTCACTGAGACGGCAAGGGCCCGCATTGTGAATGCCGGTGGAGAATGCCTCACCTTTGACCAGCTGGCCCTTCGTGCTCCTCTTGGCCAGAACACGGTAATTTCTGCTGCCCACTTATGTTCTCATCCTCACTCGTCACTAAGTTTGTGTACATACGAGCATTGCTATGGATTACAATGTTTTCTGTACTTAATAATGCCTAATCGGTGATCCACAGGGAATATATTTGTTACTAGAATTCTTTTTGTTGTTGTTATTGTTGTTGTTGTTGTTGTTGTTGTTGGCTCTTGTCTGACCGTACTATTTCAGATCCTGTTGCATAATCATATTTAATGTTGCGAAATTTGAACTCAACTTGCCATCTCTATAAAATATCTTATGGTTCTACTTTTTATATTTCATTCATTCAGTCTTGCTTGATCCTGGGAAGGTGGATGTACCTGTATCACCATGGTGCTACTGTCTTTTAATCGCTATGACTCCAGTAGGCAACATGATTGGTTCTTGAGTACAGTTTGTTTCCCTTTCTTCTGAGCATATTGGTGTCTGCACAGTGCTACCCCCAGGCTTGTCAGATCACAATCCTATGAATAAGAAACCCCCAATTTCTGTGCTTAGATCTACTATCCCATTTGGTGTTGCAGGTCATGTCACTTGTGATTGAGTCGTCTGTGTCAACATAGATCTACTATCCCATTCGGTGTTGCAGGTCATGTCACTTGTGGTTGAGTCGTCTGTGTCAACATAGATCTACTATCCCATTCGGTGTTTCAGGTCATGTCACTTGTGATTGAGTGGTCATGCATCTCTTGTCCATGTAGTAACAAACAAAATTTACATTGGAATGATGGCAGTGACCACACCTACGCTTCTGTTAATCTGTGAAGCACAAGGGAAAACAGTGGTTGAATTTCTTCAAATGAACTAATACATCCATTATCACTCTTCCTTCAGTTTATTCTTTAAGATTTATTATCTTTGTATGTGCTCTGGTTTACCGCGGCAGTGATGATACAAACCTTCAGCTTGCATGCCAGTTCTGCTTCTGAGAATTCATGACTGAGAAAGCTGAGATAGATCTGAGCCTTGAACCAGCACATCTTTCTAGGATCATTAATGATTTTGACACTTGCATTAGTTATGTTCTTCTTGGGAACCTTACTCTGGACCAAGGAGGTTTAGCTGTTGCATAAATCTATATGGTTGTCTTACCAGCCCATTGCACTATTATGATTGCTTTGGTGCCAAATGATCTAACCGAAATTCTGCTCTTTTGTCTCTCTACATAATGGTAGGTTGCTTCTTCTGGTTTCCTTCAGTCAAATATTCTAACAACACTAGCTCTCTCCTTTTTCTAGTTCCTGAATGATGTAGTTTCAATAGTCGAATATTTGTTGTGTTCTTGGAAGAACAGCATATGATGCATACTCTAGTGGTACATGCTGTATGCAGTGTGGACCAATACTCTGCTTATTGGTTGATCCCACTAATGGCATCATGATTTTGTTATATGAATGTTTTTGGCTTGCTTAAGTGGTGGGCAGTTTATACTTGAGTATGTACTATGGTTATACTTCAAAATGCATGCACCTGCATATTATGCTACGCTCAATCTGTTAACAAATACTGCTTATTCTCCGGTGTTCTGAATATCGTGATTCTATCGTAGAAATGTTTTTGTGCATTGCATTTTGCATTTTCAGCTATTGATGCAATCAAAACCTACACTTTAGGCATGATTTATTTTAGTGCACATTTTTTTGGGTTGTGATGTTTCAGCCTTGATGTTTGAATGCTAGTCTAGTATTGTCCATCCCACTTTTTTGCGACCATGTATTGCCCCTATTGTGTGTAGCGTTCATGTCTGTACACACTGTTGCGCTGTAAAAATTCCTATTCGTTTCATAATGTTGTTCCTGTTCTTCCAAGATATTGCGCTTCTAAATATGCAAATATATGTCATTGCATACCGGCATTGCAACTGGCCCATTACTCTGTGCTGTTGGTTGTGTACCAAGCAAATCATCACAAATTACAATCGTCTTAACAGGTTCTCCTGAGGGGTCCAAAGAATGCCCGTGAGGCAGTGAGGCACTTCGGTAAGGCTCCTGGTGTGCCGCACAGCCATACCAAGCCTTATGTCCGCTCGAAGGGAAGGAAGTTTGAGAAGGCAAGAGGAAGGAGGAACAGCAGAGGCTTCAAGGTCTAGGTTCTTGCTTGGTGTTCATGTGCTACACAGCTCTTGTTTGAGTCTGAGTTATGTTATTATTAAGTGCTAGGATCATCTAAATTTTGTTCGAATGTCACGCACTGTGCTGTGTATCCGTTTTACCGGAAACTGTATTGTTTAACCTCTCTCAACTGGAAATCTTTCAAGTATCTGATCCTCTTGAATGAAGTATGATGGTTTGTTTGGTTGCCTGCCGCCCTGTGTCGATTAGGCAGTGGGCTAGAGCCACGTTCTGCATACGTGGTGTTTGGTTGGCAGCACACGAGGCTAAAAGGCTGGCTTTTGGCAGCACCCTCGTATGAATAAGGGCGGAAGTTTGTCAATGACGATCGCAAGAGAAGAGATTATTGAAAACATTAAAGAAACGTCATGTTGCAATTGGATATCCTTTGGATGGTCTTAAAACATTAGTTCTAATATGTGCCAACATAAATTAATATGGAGCCCGATGCCAAACAAGTTGATCATCGATGCCGCTTGAATAAGAAAATGAAGGAAGTGGTAATACCGCTTGAATAAGAAAATGAAGGAAGTGGTAATACGAGAATGAAGGAAGTGGTAAGAACAACTCTAGCAGACCCCACAAAATAACCGCCCAAAGGCGGGTCGGCGCAAAAAATCCCGCTCGAACAGACCCCGTAAACGCGGCCGGCTAGCAAAAGTTTTTGAGGGGCGCGGCAAAATCTCGGCCCCAACCCGCGAATATGCGGGTTTCCGCCTCGCCCCTACGGTGCCCCGTATCAGAGTCAAGCGGGTGGCGGGAGGGACGTTTCAGCCCCCGCCCTTTCCCCATCTCCTTCCGCTGCTGCCCGCCCTTGGTTTCGCCTGTCCACCGCCGGCGACTCCGGCCAAATCTGCGGGCGGAATCGCGCCGCGGGGGCGTCCCCCACCCTCCAGCACCGATACGCTACACCGCCCCCGGATCCGGCGAGAAGAGCCGCCTCTCGTCGCTGTCGCCGCCGGGGATCGACCGCCCTTGAGCCCGTCCCTCATCGCCGCCCGGGATCACCCGCCCCACGAGCCGCCGGTTAGTGTTTGTTTGTTTGTGCTTTGTGCCGAGCAGTATGCATAGTTGATTGACGCGGCGTACGATTCTTGTTCATGTAGATGGGATTGAGCCCGTGCGAGAAGTTCTTGCTCTCCGATTCATCCGATTCGGACGACTCGGATGTTGAGATGATGCTTGCAACCTTCGGCAGCAGACATTAGTGATGGCACTTGCTGTGAAGGAGCACGAAGACGAGAACCGGAAGAGGCGGCGAGGATCGACCGTCGGGCATCTTTGCATTCCTCGGAATCGTCATCTCGGGAACAAGATGTTGATGCAAGACTACTTCGCGGAGAATCCAACATATCCACCGCACCTCTTCCGGAGAAGGTATCGAATGCGCCGATCACTCTTTGTGAAAATTGTTCAAGCTTGCGAGGCAATTTGTCGGTATTTTACTCAAAGAAGAAATGCTGCGAGTTTAAAGGGATTTACTGCATATCAAAAAATCTCCGCAGCTATGCGGGTGATTGTAGGCGTTCCGGCTGACTATGCCGATGAGTACCTTCGCATTGGTGAAGATACCACAATTGAGTCAGTGCATATATTTGCCAAAGTGATCATCCGTGTCTTTGGTCCTGAATATCTTCGGGCACCCAACGAGGATGACACAAAGAAACCGATGACATCTAATGAGAGGAGAGGTTGGCCTGGCATGCTAGGTAGCATTGATTGTATGCATTGGACTTGGAAAAATTGCCCAAAGGCATGGCAGGGAATGTATTGTGGCAAGTCTCGTGTTGCAACAATTGTGCTAGAGGCCGTAGCATCAAAGGATTTACGGATTTGGCATTGCTTCTTTGGTATGCCGGGCACTCTCAATGATATCAATGTGTTGCAACGGTCTTATTTGTTTGCTAGGCTTGCTAAATGCTCCTGCTTGCAACTACACTGTCAATGGGCATGAATACACAAAAGGGTACTATCTTGCAGATGTTATATACCCTCCTTGGTGCACATTTGTCAAGAGCATCGAAGATCCAAAAACTAGAAAACATTGTGAATTTGCAAGGGTGCAAGAGGCAGCCCGAAAATACATTGAAAGAGCATTCGGGGTTTTGCAATCTAGGTTTGCCATTGTTCGTGGTCCTGCTCGTTTTTGGGACAAGAGGACCTTGAAAAATATCATGACATGTTGTGTTATCCTTCACAATATGATTCTCCAAGATGAGAGAGGAATGAATTTGGAGTTCTTCTACAACAATGTGGGTAGCCGTGTCAAATCAGTTAGAGACCCTAACTGCATTAGAGCTTTTCTTCAGACCTACAAGGAGATTGAAAATGCAAACACCCACTTTCAGCTTCAGGAGGATCTCATTGAGCATCATTGGCAAAGGGCTGGATGGTAACAAACTCATTTTCTATTCATTTGTATTTGTATTTGGGACAAGTTTTGTATTGCATTATTTAATTTGCTTCGGTGATTTCAATAATTATTTGTAATGTGGATGATTGTTGTATTGTGTTGGTATTGAATAATTATTTAGTTTGCTTCCGTGATTTGAATAATTATTTTGTAGTGTGGATGTTTGTTTTATTTTTGTGGTGTGGTATTGATATTTTTGGACCAGCGGGATGCGTGATGCAGCGGCGCAAGAGCAGACCCCGCAAAGCCGACCTGTAAAAAAAGTATATTCCACGAATATCCTTTTATACGAGTCCGTTTGAGGAGTCTGCCTCTGCGGCCATCCGCGCCGGCCCGCAAAGCCATTTTTCTGCGAACTGCAAACACGTTTTGTGGGTCTGCGGGATGCGGGGTCTACTAGAGATGCTCTAAGGAATGAAATATTAAAACTTCTGGAGCAGGTAAATTTATCCTATAACTGATAATAGATAGATAAGTCTTACATTGTGGCCCTAAGAAATGTAGCATTATTTCTAATGATAAAAATGAACTTATCTGGCAAAGAGTTGTAACTAGTTATATGATGATTATGATTTTAGAAAAATTGAATAAGGCTACTAGTCATTATCCTTTGCCTTTTATTGATCAAATGTTAGAAAGATTGTCTAAGCATACATAAGTTTATCTTCTTTTGTGATGAATGTCAAAGAGTTGTAAATGTTGGTAGACGTCGGGAAATGCCTATGAATTATTCATTTATAACCATTTGATGTTTAGGGTTTTGGTTATATGAGACTTTTTCCTTCCTCGCATGGTTATACTCATATTCTAGTTGCTGTTGATTATGTCACTAAATGGGCAGAGGCTATTCCAACAAAAAATATTGATCATAAGACTTCTATTAAAATGCTTAAAGATGTTATTTTTCTGAGATTTGGAGTCTCTCGATATTTAATGACTGATGGTGGTTCACATTTTACTCATGGTGCTTTCGGAAAAGTTTTAGCTAAGTACTCCCTCCAGACCTTTTCACTATGCATATTAGATTTCTCAAAAGTCAAACTTCATCAACTTTGACCAAATTTATATTAAAAATTAACAATATTTAGTATACCAATTAAATATAGTATGAAAATATATTCTATAATGGATCTAATGGCATTGATTTTTGTATTATCATTTTTGATAATTTTTTGAATAAACATGGTCAAACTTTAAACACTTTGACTTAGGACAAATCTAACACGCGGTGTAAAAGAACCGGAGGGAGTATGATGTATACCATAGAGTAGCATCACCTTATCATCCTTAGTCTATTGGGTAAGTTGAACTAACTAATAGTGAAATAAAATTAATATTGAAAAAAACTGTTAATAAATCTAGAAAGAATTGGTCTAATAAATTGGATAGTGCACTTTGGGCATATAGAACTGCTTATAAAAACCCTATGGGTATGCCCCCCCGGTAAAATGGTTTATGAAAAAGCATGTCAATTACCTCTTGAACTAGAACATAAAGCTTATTGGGCTAAGAAAGAATTTAATTATGATTTTAAAATTGCTACCAAAAACAGGTTATTTGATATGAGTTCTTTAGATGAATATGATGGGATTCATTGCAAGGAAAACCATTTTTTTCCTACGGGAGAAAGAATAAACCCAAGGCCGAACTACTAGATGCTAGCAACGAGTAGGAAAAGGTCTACATACCCTTGTAGAACACGCCCATTTAACGATCTAAAGATCGTGGGTGATGTAGTCGTACTTTCGTCGGATCAATTTGATGTAGCACTACACGAACGATGCCTCTGAATTGCACACACGTGCAGCTTGATGTCGTATGCTCCTTCTTTATCCAGCAAGCGAGGGGAAGAGGTGGATGAGATTGATATCAGTAGCAGATGGCATGGTGGCAGAAGTATGATGGAAATCCGGCAGAGCTTCGCTAAGAACTGCACGAATGAGGGACGTATAGAACGAGAGGGAGGCGGCCAGCAACGGGGATGTCAGATCCTGCGGCCAGCCCCTACCTCCACTATTTATAGGCATGGGGGAGGAGGCTTGGCCCCTCCTCCAAGCATCTGGGGTCAGCACACCGAAGGGGGAGGGAAATCTCCTCCTTCCTTCCCCACCAATCGTGATCCCTCTTTTTTAGGGATCTTGATCTTATCCCTTCAGGATTTGATCCTATTCCTTTTAGAGAGGATATTGGTGCGCATGGACCAGAGGTGTGGCGCCTTGTCCCACCACCCACATCCATGTGGGTATATCCATGCAGGTGGGTCCCACTTAGAAACCTTCTAGAACCTTCCTGGTATAACATCGAAAAATCCCAAACTTTTTTGGTAACCCTGAAAATACTTTCCATATATGTTTTCTTTGTCCCCGAACCATTACGAAGCTCCTCATGATGTCTAGGATCCCATATGAGACTCCGAATCAAAATTCAATAATACCATCTTATTATCTCATCAAACCCTAGCGACATCAAACTTTAAGTGTGTGACCCTACGGGTTCGAGAATATGTGGACATGATGAAGACTACTCTCCGATCAATAACCAATAGTGGGACCATGGATGCCCATA